CCCGGTGACCCCAAATCCTGAGAGACCCCAAACCCTGAGAGCCCCCCAATCCTGCCTGTCCCTAAATCCTGAGAGACCTCAAATCCCGCGGGGTGACCCCAAATCTTGTGAGACCCCAAATCCTGCCTGTCCCTAAATCCCGGTGACCCCAAATCCTGTCGGAGCCCCAGTCCCCGACCCCCGGCCCCAGTCCCGACCCCCGGCCGTGCCAAGGCCAGCTGAGGCCGGGGCCGGTCGCCGTCCCCCGGCGCTGCCCGTGGCGCTGAGCCCCGGCTGTGCCCGCAGCCTTCATCGCCGACCTCGTCATCAGCCCGGACGATCGGTTCCTGTACGTGAGCAATTGGCTGCACGGGGACATCCGGCAGTACGAGCTGGCCAGGAACTGCAAGCCCCGGCTGGTGGGGCAGGTGAGGGGCAGCCCTGGGGCCGGGGGGCCGCGATGGGGCCGGGCAGGGCCGGGGGGAGCGGCCGGGAGCGCTCGGGGCCAGCGCGGCCCTTGCAGGGCTTGGGAATTGGGGTTTGGGATTGGGAGAGGGGATTTGGGGTTGGGAATGGGGATTTGGGGTTGGGAATGGGGATTTGGGGTTGGGAAAGTGGATTTGGGGTTGGGAATCGGGATTTGGGGTTGGGAAAGGGGATTTGGGGTTGGGAGAGGGGATTTGGGGTTGGGAATGGGGATTTGGGAATGGGAATGGGGATTTGGGGTTGGGAATGGGGATTTGGGAATGGGAATCGGGATTTGGGGTTGGGAATGGGGATTTGGGAATGGGATAAATGTTTGGGATTTGGATAAATGTTTGGGATTAATGTTTGGAGCTGGAAAAGGACTTGGGAAAAGGGTTTAGGATTGGGAGAAGGGGGTGAATGGTTTAGGATTGGGAAAGGATTTGGGAACAAATTTGGGAAAAGGGTTTGGGATTGGGAGAAGGGTTTGAAGGATTTGGGATCGGAGAAGGGATTTTGGAATGGGAAAGGGTTTGGGATTGGAGAAGGGATTTTGGAATGGGAAAGGGTTTGGGATTGGAGAAGGGATTTTGGAATGGGAAAGGGTTTGGGATTGGAGAAGGTATTTTGGAATGGGAAAGGGTTTGGGATTGGAGAAGGGATTTTGGAATGGGAAAGGGTTTGGGATTGGAGAAGGGATTTTGGAATGGGAAAGGGTTTGGCCCTTGCAGGTGTTCGTGGGGGGCAGCATCCTGCGAGGGGGCCCCGTCACCGTCTGCAGGGACGAGGAGCTCAAGTGCCAGCCCGAGCCGCTGGTGGTCAAGGTGAGCCCCGGGGGGCTGCGGCACCTGGGCAGGGCTGGGAGTGGGAGTGTGTGCTCACCTGAGTGTGTGCTCACCTGAGTGTGTGTGTGCTCACCTGAGTCAGTGTGTGCTCACCTGAGTGTGTGCTCACCTGAGTGTGTGTGCTCACCTAAGTGTGTGTGTGTGTGTGCTCACCTGAGTGTGTGCTCACCTGAGTGTGTGCTCACCTGAGTGTGCTCACCTGAACCTGCTCTCACCAGTGCCCCCAGTAACCCCAGTGCTGTGGCCCACCTGCCCCA